CAATCCATTCACCCCAGCCTCCCAAAGGCGCGGGATTACAGGCTGAGCCACTGAGCCCGGTTCTCTTATTTCTCACAGTTCTAAAGGCTGGGAAGTCCAAAATCAGGGTGGCAGCAGATTCAGTGACTGGTGAGCACCCCCTTTCTGGTTTCTGAGATGGTGCCTTCTCATTGGAAGGGTTAAGGGTCTCTCTGGGTTTTCTTTTATATGGACACTAATTCCACCATGAGCTCTCACAGTCACGTCCACTTCTCAAAGACTCCATCACCTAAGGCTTTCAACATGTGAATTTTGGGAGAACACCAACATTCAGAAGATAGCAATGCTCCACCTATTTGTGTGAAATGCTGGAGCATCAGTGTTAAAAGTATCAGGAAGACAAACAAGATGAAAAGATCATTGGAATAGTTAATACTGGAAAAAGAAAAGAAAAATAAATGCTTTTTAAAAAATGATAACACAGACAGAAAAAACTGTATAGAAATGGAATCATTTCTGCTGGAGATTATATGTAAACTAATTTATATATATAAATTTCTTACACATCCTGGACCTTACTATAGATTTCACAAACACATTTTAAAGTAATGCACATTTAGGCCAAGCACAATTGCACTACTCTAATCCGAGCACTTTGGGAGGCTGAGACAAGAGAATTGCTTGAGCCCAGGAGTTTGAGACCAGCCTGGGCAACATAGTGAGACCTCGTCTCTATAATAAATAATAAAATTAGCTGGGTGTGGTGGTGTGCGACTGTAGTCCCAACCACTCAGGAGGCTGAGGTGGGATGATCACCTGAACCCAGGAGGCTGAGGCTGTGGTGATCCATGATTGTGCCATTGCACTCCATCCTGGGCAAGAGAGTGAGACTCCAACTCAAAAAATAATAATAATAATGCACATTTTGTCATAAGGGTTCTTTGGGGACAGTGCATTCCTGGTCCTGTCCTGATTTGCTAATTCTGGCAGAGGGATACAAATGACTAGAGGATGCTCTCTTGGCTGCACCCTGCCAGATGGAACAGACCTGGCTAAAGCCTCAGTCATTTGCAGTGTCCGTAGGTGCAAAGGCACCAGAAATCCCCACATTAACAAACAGGTGGCAGATTTGCCGTCAATTCTCCCATCTTCACCTCAAAATCTAGACTTTTTTCCCCCATGTTATCTCTTTTTAAAAAATAAGACCAGAGCTGAGCATAATGGCTCATGCCTGCAATCCCAGCACTTTGGGAGGCTGACGCCGGAGTTTTGCTTGAGGCTAGGAGATCAAAATCAGCCTGGTGAACATAGCGAGACCCCATCTCTACTTTAATTTTTTTTTTATTAAAATAAGTCCATATCCTAGAAAAAGAAAAGAAGATAAGAGGGAATGATTTCCTTAGTGCCAAGGAAAGGAACTTTATTTAAATAAGCCTCCCACGCAGCTGTCCTCAGCACCTGAGCCAGGTCACTGTTGGTAAAGTCTGAGAGGTCTGCAACTGTCACCCCAACCATGCGCAAGACTCAAGGAGCTGAACGGGAAGCTGAGACTTCACACACCATGAGACTCCTCCTAACATAGGTGAGTATGTCATGTATTAGGGGGGTTACTTTGCAATTATTCGTGTTGTTTCCCTCTATCATGCATGCCAGACAATTAAGAGTTGTATATGGCCAGGTGCGATGGCTTATGCCTGTAATCCCAGCACTTTGGGAGGTCGAAGTGAAAGGAATGTCTGAGTCCCAGAGTTCGAAACCAGCCTGGACAACTTGGTGAGATCTCCTCTCTACAACAAATCAAAAAAAATAATCAGGCGTGGTGGCACTCACCTGTAATTCCACCTACTTGGAAGACTGAGATGGAAGGACCACCTGAGCCCAGCAGGCCAAGGTTACAGTGGCCACTGCACTCCAGCCTGGGCGACAGAGTGAGACTCCAACTCAAAAATAAAAAATAAAAGAGTTGCGTATGTAGAACTGCAAGGTGGACAGGTTGGCCTAAGTCTGGGGAGACTAACAAGACTCAGAGCTCACATTACCAATCCCAAAGAGCCCTCAAATCCTCCTTAATGACAGGCATTAGTGTCAGAACACGATCCAGCCCATTGTCTTTTAAAGAGTTCTACTCACCAACCAGCAAGCAAACAACAACCAAGTTTGAATTACTGTCTTAAATTCTATCTTACCTTACTCAAGGGAGACAAAGACTCTTTATAATGTAAGGAATAATCCCACTAAGCAGGTTGGCAGGGAGTGCAGTACTACCTCTCTTTTCTTTTTGGGGGAGAGTGCTTCTAAAATGCAGCTACCCACAGTGAATATCATCCCATTATTATATAAGCTTAGAAAGCCTTCAAGTGAGAGTGGTGCATGGAAATATATAAACACTCAGATATTCTGATTTTACCTTTTCACAAACTGTTTTTTAAAAATAAATATCATGAGCCGGGCTCAGTGGCTCAGCCTGTAATCCCGTGCCTTTGGGAGGCTGAGGTGAGTGGATTGCCTGAGCTCGCGGGTTTC